GTTATAATATTCTGGTAAAGCTCCCCATTCATGTTCTCTGTGAACATGTGAAATCCGACAATTCCCTTTGCACAAAACGTACTCCACACATGGACTTTAAAGGGGTGTTTTACCACAACTTGTCTTGGTATTGTTTCTCCAACTTTGTAACAAACTAGCGTCGTATTACAAAACATCTGAAATGTCGACTCGTCAGAAAATATGACATTATTCTAACATTCTTCTTGATGAGCTTTCGCCCAAGTGACATGACGATTTATAGCATCCTGGGTAAGGAAAGGAACTGAATGAGGAATACAAACTTTATACCTAAGGTCTTGAAGGTTTTCTCTAACCATCTGAGGTGCAATATCAAGGTCAGGGTATTTTTTTTTAGGTTTTCAGTTATTTCATTACTTGACGCACATTTGCGTGATTTCGCAATTTGATCAAAGTAGCAACGCTGAAAAGGAGAAAGACGTTTTAGACGTCCCAGACGACTTTTTTGCTTAAGGTCGTTCGTTTCTTTGAGTTGTTTGGCCCATCTGTATAATGTTTTTAATGGATATCCAGTGGCTTTTTGAAGGTCTGCAACTTTACGAACGCCACCTTTCCATAAAGCTTTAATACATTGATGGTGCTCTTTTAGTGAAATCATTATATGATGCTTACGATCGCCAGGTTGCAGATATTTATTAAAATATAATGTAAACAACTTGTTTACATCATAATTTATGTTTTTGTTTAGACATTTTGCGTGATCTGCTCCAAAATCTAAAAAAAAAAAATTGTCATTTTTTTCTGCCAGAACTGTATATGTAATATCACAATTTATATACAGTATAAAAAAAAATTGGTTATATGTCCTATAATTTAAAATTATTATTATTTTTCATCATTACTGTTTTTAATTAAGGTATAATCCTTTTTACTTTTATATAGTAGTAAGAGACTTGTATTTTCTAAAAGATTTACTTTAGGTTGATTTGTTGGTTTTAATAAATTTTCTGAGATATAAAAGCTTTCAGCATCTTAACAAAATTTGTAATATGTATAATACGTCAAACATGAAAATCCGTTGTTAAATATATAATAAATGTGGAGATTTCCATTTTTGTAAAGAAATTCATGCGATCATAAACTTTTATTAAAAAAAAATTTTTTGCAATAAAAAAAATTCGGTTCATTAAAGAGATCAAGTTTATCTGTGTAATTTCTTCGTTTTATGTTATACAGCATTTAATTAATAAATTTGGACAGCATAGTTCGCCCATTGCGTTTGTGGCTTTGCCCAAATCTTTGAAGTCCAAAATAATTAGCCTTAGATAACTTATGTATATTGAATATTTACTACTTTAGAATTATATGATACATAATCTAAAATATCGAATGTATTGATTTGTAGAATTCACCAAACATATGCTGTGTTGCCCGAAGCTTTAAATTCTTGATCGGCTAAACATTTATGGCAAATGTCAATTCAGATCAAGGTAATTAAATCGATTTCATCGAGTATAATCATTTTTGCTTTATGTGATTAGCTGCATTATGCAGGTGCCTTTGTACTTTTGCAAAATAATGTAAATTCATTGGCCTGTCTATAAGAAAATTTAGAAGGCTTATTTTAAGCATATTACTAGAATGCGAAATGATGGCGTTAGGTCTTATTCATTTCCCAATGCAAGCTCACGAAATGTATTTTATTTTATTCTAAAACGATGAGGATTAGAGGATTAGTTTATGCCAATTAATAAATAATAAAGGTTGGGTTGTGTGTATCGAAAATTATAAGTTTCGCAAATATTTGCATCACTGGTTATTTTATATGATGAAAGTACGAAAATTTTCTAGATACGGACGGGATAATTTAATTGATAGATACAGTACAATAGAAATTTCTGGAAATATGAGAAAGATTATAACGCGTACTCCTCCGATGATAAACTGTTCTTATTGAAACACGGATCGGATCATATTTGTATGAATGGATTATTGGGGCGTAAGAATTTCTTAGATGACAATACGATAGAAACAATAGAAAATTTACGGAAATATGAGAATGAATAAGAAGCGTACTTCACTCTCTTGGATAAAGTTTTTTGGCGCAAATTTTAGGAATTTATCTTCCTTGTATGGGTTATATGACCTGCAAATGAGTTTCTCAAAACTTACATAGGAAGCGAATCGCGGTTGCATATAGTCACATAGTTTTTAATAGTTTGATAACAAATATTCTTTTATTCTTTGTGATTATTAGAGCGAAGTATAAGCGGAGTTAAATGAAATCGGAGTATTAAAAATGTCGGAGTTATAACATTTATATTGTTCTGATGCACACATAAAAGCCACCTTTCCAAAATTAGGTTTATTGGATTCGGAATTAAGTGTAAATTTTGATTTACAAAAATTCAATTATACATCTCGAGTCGGTTTTTTTTTGCTATATAAACTGCTGTTTTCGAATCAAGAAAAAAGATAACTTAAAATCAAGTTCAAAGTTTTCCTTTAAATAACTTAAGAATCGAGTCAAAATTTTCTTTTAATATTCCCTTATAATCAACCAATTTAACAATCTAATCGTCTACCTGTTCACTTATTTTTAATGTAGGGATTTTTTTTACAGACTGTATATTATTTTTCATCTATTCGTATGGTTGTTAATCTTCTTTTATTCTCTTTAGATTACAATGGGTCTTAACATTATTAAATTTTTCTCGGTTCTCTCGATTCTTCTTTTCGTTGTCTCAGTGTCTCCCGCTAGTTTGGTTAAACGCGCTGCCGTTAGTTGTCCTATCTGCGCACCTTCTGTTGTATCTCTCGATAATTGTGATCTAACCAATGTGGTAACATGGGACTGCTCCGGTTCTGGAACTGCAATTTGTACTAATAATTGTTCTGGTTGTAGTATATTGTGTACGTCTCCCAATGAATTTTCTTGGTCTTGTGATTGCGCATAATTTTTCAATTATATATCACATTCTGGATTCCTCTTAATTTTCTTTCTGATATTATTCAATCTGATGTATTCTGATTTTTTGTATTGTATTGTTCAATCTTATGCATTATTATCATTTTTTATTAAGTTTCATTATATCTTTGTTATAATAAAATCTACTTGAAATAATGCAATAACCAAGTTTTTCATTATTCTTTTTTCTCGTGGTCGTCTTGTTGTGGAAAATTGTAAACACGTCACAAGATAATTCATTGTTATCAATTCAAATTAACAAATGTGCCAATGATCTTCAAAAAAATGCAATTGAGAAGAGATATAGAAAGGGAGAGGAAGATTTATGATCCGTCAATTTCAAAACCATAGAAGAATATGATTTGCTGCGCAATTTTAATTTCGAAAATACTGTAACTATTTTTATTTTACCTATTTTTACTTTACTTATCATTTCGGGTTAATCTTTTGAATGGGCGGATGATCATCAACAATTGAACTACTACTAAAAATAGTAACGATGCTAATTAGTGCTACAGATACTTGTTTCTTTTAATTTGATTAAAAAATTTAGCCGTTTAGCCATTTTTGCCACAATGTGAAAGATATTTTAAGAAACATATGGCTAAGACAAAATATAATAAGGACGACAAAATCATCATATTCAATATTTCTTTCCAACAACAATGGTCCATAGTTGTGATAGTAAATCAATACCAGGTTTGCCAGTAATAATACAAATCCATATTTAACATCTTAATTAGTCACATACTCCTATTTGTCACCGTTATATGTGTTACACTGAAACACGTATTACAAAAAAATTGACTTTATTTTATTTGAACGAAGCATACGCGTAATTTAAATAATGAATAATCTATTTGTAAAATCAAATAATTTTTTAAACCCATTTTCTATTTCTCAATTGTTCATTTTTTAATTAATCTAGATTAACAAGTATCTTTTTGTTTGAAGAACCATAAAGAAGCCTTATAATGTTCATAAATCCCAATACATACACAAACGTGCCATATTGAATGACTGTGAATTCCGAATCGATCCAATTTCCCGGGCCAATTTCTTTCAGGAAATCTATTGGCATAGATCCAAACACCTGTGAGATAAGCAGCAATGCTCGAAACTATAGGCTGCATAAAATTCATTGTATTTTCAAATCCGTGAAGTAAAATTTTATGCGTTAAAGGGAATATTCCGGAACAACCGAGCATTAAGAAAAGACCAACACGGAACAAACGGAATGGCTTTGTGTCAAACCATGGGAACATTGAGCATGCAATTGGGACAAGACCAGCTAATGATGTAAAGATAATATAAAATGTACCCAAAGATTTTGAACAATAAAAGCTGTAATATTCGGTGATTAAAATCGAGGCCGTGATTAAAAGTGATATCCCAATGTAATCGAACGTAGCAGCACATTTCATAACTGGAATGTGTGCGCAATGGATAAATGTATGATACATGACCGAGCAAACCAAGCTAAAATGAATAAACTACAGTTAATAGGTTTAATTTTTTTTTTTTAAAAGAAAAAAAGAATACTCGCATAAAAATTACCATTTTGCTGCTGCCACGAAAAAGATTGCAAAGAAAAATTTATCGAACTTAGTTGCGTGTTCCAGAGTTAAGATTGAATATATACCCAAACCCAAAAAGAACACAAAACCTAAAAGATGAGTCCAAATATTGCAAGTTTCATTGTGAAGCCAAAAGATTGATTGAAGACATTGTTTTTTAGTTGACAAGAAACGATATCCAGAACGAATGTATCTATGGGATAAAAAAAAAAAGGTTGATCTCAAAAAGTTTTTTACAATTAAAATTAAACCGATTTATATAGATACTTACGGATTTTCTTGCCACTCTTTAGGTAATTCCTCAAAGTGCAATAAGCGATATGCACCTAATTTGGCGGCTATGCTTATAGCATTATAAGTGTCAACTACATGCTGGTCCACACATTTGAGGATTCCAGTAGAGTCAATGTCTTCCATCTCTTTTATTGTTTCCCGAAGGAAAGAAGTTGGCTTCTCAACCTCAATAAACTTTTCTTCCTTTGGATACATATTGAAGAGTAAAAGTGGATAAACAATAATAAAAGAAAGTGTGTGTAATATATAACTTTTTTTTTGTTTAAAGGATTAAAACGGAATAGGAGAATATAAGGGAAGGATATTCTTCTTTGGCTTCTCTATGAACCTTTTTGTTTTATTCACCTCGGTATCTATGAACAAAACCGGAGGTGAACGGCCAAGAAAAAAAAAATAATTACAAAGGAAGGATAATGAAAATATCAAAAATGCGCGCACATCAACCCCAACGGTTAAACAGATTTTTTTGGGGTTTGTATTAACAGACATGGTAATTATTTATACACAACAGTTCTAGAATTTTAAATTTTTTGACATTTATATTTATCTTATTTTAGCATCACGTTCACTTTTACGTAGATCGCTCCTTTAACCAAACTTGGTTGGTTTTTTTATTAGGGGAGGGCCAGAAATTACGTCATTTTGATTTTGAGGATTTTTGACCCCCCGTCATATTACTTTTAAATAAGGAAATCATATAGTAATGTCAACCTAGGTGGACTCCCCTCCCCTCCTTATGAATTTTGCGATCGCTTCATTAGCATAGTAAAAAAACTTCTACCATGGGAGCGTTGATCTATACCTCATGACTGGTAACGTTTCCCATTGAGTTGTCATACCTTTAAATTTTACCATTTTAGAAATTCCAATCAAGATCTAAAGATAAACAAATACCTATCGTTATCATACTTTATCTTATCTACAAATCACATAAGAATTTTCATTAAATGTAATGTATTTAAAAAAAATTATAAATTTAATTTTTTATTTAATAATTAGAATTTTAAATTATAAATTTTTTTATTACTTATTAAAAAAATAATTAATTTTTTTTTTTTATATTAATATTATTTTGATATAATATTATTTTGATCTGATTTAGAAAAATTGAATTTAATAAATCAGTTTTAAAATTATTGTATTTTTACATAAAATTATATTAATCAATTTATATTGTTTAATAATTTTAAAAAAAAGTATTAAATTATTTTATAATAAAGCAAATCAAAATTTTATTTAATTTAAACTGATAATACTTATTTTATATCAACTTTTAAGATATAAAGTTGTCTATATCTTTTCTGAATTTAAATAGTTATATAAAAATTTATAGTATTTTTTATAATTAAGAATATTTGATAATTAAAAACATTAGTTATTTGTACATTTCCTTGATATAGATCACAAAAATTTTAAAATAAGATTTGATCAATATCAATTTAATTTTTTTGATATTTATTTTTATAAAATAGTATAAATAACATGATGTAAAAATTTTTTATTTTATTTATGAATACTTATTTTATTGCATTATATAATTTATATATTTTATTTTTTTTAATGTAATAGTTAAAAAAGAAAAAACTAACTAAAGAATAATAAAACTAAATCATTAGTACTTAAAAATATAATATATCAGTTTTACTATTTATAAATATTATAAATTTTAAAAAATACTAATTGAACTGAACATTCATTATCTTATTCATCTATTAAAAAAGATAAAAAGTTTTCTCTAAATATTTTAATTAATAAGTTTATTGAATCAATATCTATTAACATTTCTTCTCATACTATATAATCTTATATAAAAAAGGATTTTATGATTGTATAATAAAAAAAATCTTTTAAAAATAAAAAGAATTGTAAAATAAGTTTTGAATAAGTAAAAGAATAAATAAATAAAAAGGAGATATACTTTAATGCTAATTAATTTGATGATATTAAAATTAATTATATCAATTTAACATTTATTATAAATTATTTATAAAATAATTATATCTATCAAATATAATTTAATTAGTAATTTATTAATTTGTATTAAAATATAAAAGAAAAAGTAAAATTTTATTATTTTGAGTGATGTATTACAGTTTAAAATATTTAGAGAAAATAATTAAAATTTTATTTAAAGAAAATTTAAAATATTAATTGTTTAGTTTCTACTTTTAAATCAAATTGTAAAAGTGTAATAGTTTGGTGATATTTTAATCAATTTGAATTAGATTATTTAGTCTGTATTCTTGGTAATCAAAATATAAATGATTATATTATATCTTAAATAACTATTTATTACTTTATTTAAAAGGAATATATAATCAAAATAATTATATATTTTAACAAAATAATACTTCAATTCATTAAATAACTATAACTTTACAATAAATTTCACAAAATATTTATTAATTAATTTTTTTGATTTACATAAAGTTCTAATCTCAATCCTATTAAAAATATTTAAATAAATTAGAATATCATATTTGTTAATATATTTTTTTACTAAAAAATAAGACAGAATTATTTAAATTATTACAAAAAAAATTGATTAGATTAAATATTTTAATTTATTAAATTTGGTTGAAAATATAGTTTAATATATTTAGCCTATAGTTAAAGCTAAAAAATATTTCATATAATATTAATTAATATAAATAAAATTTAATTAATATAATTTTTAATAAAAATTTAAATATTACTTAATATGTAACCTTTGAGAAAATTTAAATTTAAAAACTATAAAAAAATTAATAATTTTATATTAATAAAAATTTTCTCATAATTTATATATAGAAGCATACATAAAGATAATTTTAAGTTATTTTTATATTTTAAATTATTTGCATAAACTTTTTATTAATTTTAGAAGTTAAAAAATAATATTATAAATTATTATTTATTAATTCTAAAATATCATTAAGTATATTTTTAAAATAATTTTATGATAATAGTATATTTTGTGATAATATATTAGAAATAAAATATTTTAAATAAAGATTTTAAATTTTTGTTGAATTATATGTTATTTACTAATATTATAATATTAACTTAATATTTAGTTTAGTAAAATTATTATAAATATTATTTATTCAAAATATTAATAGTATTTATTTAATTTAAT